ATTTAAAATCAACTCCAAAACTTGATATTCCTACAATATCAATTGTATATATATTGTTGCGGCGCGTGTTGTCCACGCGGTATAAGAAGATGTTCGTCGAACGATCGATCGCTCTAAATGCTTTTGTTCGGATAGCAAGGGGGTTGTTTACGGCGAGGTTCAAGCGAGAAGTTTGAAGCCGGACTCGGAATCGACAAGAGGCTGGCCCAACGGCTCGGGATTTCCTCGCGCTTTTACCGCGGCCTTTGTAACGCGTTCGTTAATAAAGCTCTTGTGTGATATACGCGGTGTTCCTTTCTTTCCGCGGAGCGCAGCAACGTGGCGGTGACGCGACAAAACGCGGTCGCGAGCGCAACAATATATATATATATATACACAAGTATTATATAACTGCAATAACATATTGGTATATAACTGTAATATAAGTAATTTAATAACAGTTATATAATACTAAAATAACATTTATTGCAGTTACATAACATTTCAGATAGTTATATAACTGTTATATATCATATATGTAATTATGTAACAGTTATATACCATTTTAGTTACATGTTACATTTCTGTTATATAACTGCAATACACAACGAGTGGGAAAAAACAACTAACATAGATGTTGCATGTAACGAACATGTTATATTACTTGTTACATTCCGTTTTATTACGGCAATGTTGCTGTTATATATCTGTGTTTGTTGGGAGATTTGTCTTTTGATTCATATAATATCAGTGTTAAATAAAGAAAGAACAGCATCATGGTGTAAGCACATATGTAACTCTTTTTTTGCTGTGAATAATTTTTGCTTCAAAATAATTTATTGCTAATAAATGTATTAATATGTCTATTATTTTATTAACTTGTATATTTATATACAAGTATATTGTAAGCATATCAAAAATAGTTTTGTGATATATTACATAACTTTGTATATATTATTAATTTTTTATAACTGTAATATATAATTATAACTGTAATATATAATTTTTTTAGTTGGTGCACATCAGTCACTAATTACGTCCATGGTATCAGAGAAAGAAAAAGATATAAAAAAGAAAGCAAGAGCTGGAGAAATAAAAATGGTCAGTTTCCTTGCACAGCACAATCTTCCATTTCGTCTAGCAGGTCATTTAAAAAATTTGATACAAGTTTGCCCAGATTCTAAAATAGGAAGTGAATTAAAATTTGAGCGGACAAAAGCACAAGCCATAATAAGTAATGTTACAGGTCGTGCACAAGACAACAAGTTAATTACCTTGTTAAAATATAATAAATTCTTACTCATAGTGGATGAGAGTACGGATAAATAAAAAATAAAAAATAAAACAATTGGCTTGTATTGTCAGAACGTTCGTAGTGTAAGAATCGTCACACTGATTATTATAAAAATTGTTTATTCAGTTTTCTTTCGTACAGTTTTCTCGTGACGATGTTACAATAATTGTTTAAAATAACTGCGCGACTATGATTACAATGCACAGTTCACTACTAATAACTACGTGATGATAAATGATTGACTGTAACTGACTGCTTGATTCTGACTGACTGCCCGCCTCGATTCGAGGGCGCGCTTTTATAGGACCTGAGTTCGGCCAAGGAAGGTTCTGGAGTTTTCTTTATTTGGTAATATTCTAGAGCATTCTCGAATGTTCGAGAATAATCTAGAATGTTCTAGATTCGGCTGTGTGCTAGGACAATCATTTCCTGTGTCGAAAGATTGCCTTATATGCCCAGCAAACACAGATATATAACAGCAACATTGTCATAATAAAACAAACGTAACATGTAATATAACATGGTCGTTGCATGTAACATCCATGTTAGTTGTAATTTCCTACTTATCGTATATTGCAGTTATATAATATGAATATAACATGTAAGTAGAATGTAATATAATTGTTATATAGTTACAGAAATGTTATATGAAAGTT